CGATGGCCTCGCTCTGTCGTGGGGATGAGGCTTTGAGCATCCACCCAAAACCTTCTTCCTCTGGGGGAAAGGAAAAATTTACTCTTCCAAAATCCTGGGCAATGCCAAGGCCAGCCTGTTCTGGTGACAATGACAATTCTGAATTTGTGCTGGAGGCCTCCAGAGCTTCCCAACCAGCACCAAAACAGCCCAAACCCAGCTCAGAGCTTAGCTGTGAACTGACTGTGCCTGTAAGCGTTTGACATCCCACAGGATGGACACTCAAACTGGAATTCCTGCAGGGTCTCCTCACTGTTATTAAAGCAGAGATTTCCAGGCCAGTTTTTCCTGCTTTTTGTGGCAGTCAAGCGGTGTGGGACATCCCAGGGGGTCCCTGTGTCTGTGGAGAGATGCTGCTTTGTTGTGAGTGCCCTGTGGGGATCACAGGGACCATGGCCAAGCGTGCAGGGACACTTTTCTCCATCCCAGGGTACTCCAAACCCCAATGTCCAGCCTGGCCTCGGACACTTCCAGAGATCCAGGGGCAGCCACAACTTCTCAGAGCCTCCCCACTCTCCCAGATAAGAATTTCTTCCTAAAATCTAATCCAATCTATGATCTTTTAGTCTAAAACCATTCCTCAACCATCCCTGGATGATTATGCAGAACAAAGGAAATGAGCCTCCCATTCACAGTCCCAAATCTTCAGGCCAGGCCTGGTAAAAATAAATTGGAGCAAACCGACTCGCAGCCAGGAGGGCTGGATTTCCACTGAAATCACCAGGTGTGCATGGATCCTGTTTGGAAATGCCCTTTCTGTCCATTTTGGGAATTAGCACAGACCCCTTGGCTCAGGGTGGGAAGATTTTTTTGGGGGTGGAACATCAGGGTCAGGCTGAGTTGTGTTTGCTCATGTTGTCCCATCCAGCTCCAGCTCTGCTCTGGGGGAGAATTGGCGGCTGAGTGGCTTCAACAAGAGCAAAAGGATCCTCAAGTCCTTGGAAAGAACTTCTGGAGGGGCAGTGGAGGACCGAGCAGGAAGCTGAAACACCTCTGTGGTGGTTCCAAATCCATAAGGACTCAGCTGGCACAGTCCATGGACCACAGGGAGGGATTTTTCTGGCTGGAGATGGGCTGAAATGCCACCTGAATTCTTGACCAGTGTGGGCTTAGAAACGACCTGAATCTGTGACCAGTATGGCTGGAATGCCACCTGAATTCTTGACCAGTGTGGGCTCAAATGCCACCTGAATCCATGACCAGTGTGGGCTGAAAAAACACCTGAATTCTTGATCAGTGTGGGCTGAGAAACCACCTGAATCTGACCAGATTGGGCTGAGAAACCACCTGAATCTGTGACCAAACTGGGCTGAGAAACCACCTGAATCTGTGACCAGGATGGTCTGAAATGCCACCTGAATCCTTGAGCAGCTGATGGCCCATGACCCCTGA